GAACTCTCTGGCTTTCTCCATAATCCAGTGCATGTTAGCAATTTGGTCTCTACTTCCTCTGCCCCTTCAAAATCCAGCTTGTAGTTCTGGGAGTTCTCAGTCCACATACTGCTGAAGCCTACTTCGTAGGATTTAGAGCATAACCTTGCTAGTGTGTGAAATGAGTGCAATTGTACGGTAGTTGGAGCATTCTTTGGCACTGCCATTCTTTGGGACTGGGATGTAGACTGATCTTTTCCAATCCTCTGGCCACTGCTGAGTTTTCCAAACTTGCTGGCATATTGAGTGTAGCACCTTGACAGCATCATCTTTAAAGATTTTAAATAGTACAACTGGAATACCATCACCTCCACTGGCCTCGTTGTTAGCCATGCTTTCTAAAGCCCACAGACACTTTGTCCACCAAATGTATTTCCTTAAATCTGTTCTTCACGTCCACTGTGTATTCATAAGGGATTTGGTTTAGATTATACCTGACTAGCCCAGTGGTTTTTCCTACTTTCTTCAGTTTAAGCTTGAGTTTTGCTGTAAGAAGCTGATGATCAGAGCCACAATCAGCTCCAGGTCTTGTTTTTGCTGACTGTAGAGAGCTTCTCAGTCTTTGGCTGCAGAGAACATAATCTGATTTCGGTAGTGCTCATCTAGTGATGTCCATGTGTAGAGTGGCCTCTTGTCATGGTGACTTAGTCTTAGGTAAATGAGAACAACTTTCCCCAACTAAGTATACTGTGGATGTGCTGGCTACAATTCCCACAACCACCACCCAGCAAATTCACACAGGCTGGGGATTTTGCAAACTGCAATACAATAAATCTGGGGTATAGCTTGTCTATAGCATTGTAGCCTATGTTTCAACTGCTTAAACACACTGGTAGAGAACAGGAAAATAATATTTCACCTCTTTCCCTTTGATACTTTGATCTTCGGTCCATTCTACTGATACAGACTTTTTTTCCAAATTCACTGTCTTGATAGTAGCACCATGAACTGCACCTAAATAAAAGAAAAAGAGCCAATGTCTCCTTATGCTGTTTTGGGTGGGTGCTAATTTATCAAATCAGGTACATTGAATTGCCACCTAATCTGAAACATATTAGAAGAATGTGACACTTACCTACACAGAAATTAGAAGGATGTGACACTTATCTACACAGAAATGGAAACTACGGTGACACTCACCTCAAATCAAAGGACAGAGGATTAATAGAATATCATAGATATTTATCTTTCCTCTTATGACTGATAATCTTAAGAAGCTTAACTCCTTTCAATATTATTTTCTTCTAGATCACTTTCTTAATGGTCTTATAAATTTATTGTGCATAATTAGGACTATTCACAATAGCACACTGTTTGGGACAAAAGCATGTTCTACCAGGCAGTGGTCTAGATCAGGGGTTCTTAACCTTGGGTTAGGTGTTTTTGGACTGCAACTCCCAGAAGCCTTTACCACCAGCTGTGCTGGCTGGAGTTTCTGGGAGTTGCAGTTCAAAAACACCTGAGTAACCCAAGGTTAAGAACCACTGGTCTAGATAAATTTTTTGATGCAGCCAGTAAGTCATTTTGTGAGAGGATCAATCTATCACTCTCATTAGGAGATTCTTTAATTCCTCCTCACTTTCTGCCATCAGAGTGGTATCATCTGCATATCTGAGGCTGTTGATATTTCTTTCGGCAATCTTAATTTCGGTTTTGGATTCATCCAGTCCAGCCTTTCGCATGATGTATTCTGCACATACTGTAAGTTAAATAAGAAGGGAGACAATATACAGCCTTGTCATACTCCTTTCTCAATTTTGATCCAATGAGTTGGTTCAATCAAAAATAGATCATAAGAAAAAGTAGGTGCCTAGAATGCAATTTTCAGTTTCAAAATAATGCTTAATGCTCTTCAGATGGGATCAGCAAGAAAATATTGGGCACAGAAAAAAAAGCTAAGAAATCAGAAGATGACTGAGACTAGGAAACACAGCAATGAAGGAACTATAAAAGATCATCAAGTGAAAGGATGTGCCACTGAAGACCAAGGCCATCCAGGAGTCTTATTTGTGATGTGATCACCATGTATGGGTGGGGTGTGAAAGCTGAATGGCTAAGGAAGCTAACTGGGGGAAAAATTATTCATTTGAATTGTACTGGATGAGAGCTTTGCAGACAACCTGGACTGCCAGAAAGACAAACAAGTGGGTCCTAGATCAAATTAAGCCTGGTCTTTCTTTGGAGGCAAAATGATGAAACTGAGGCTCCTTTGAGCACATCATAAGAAGCCAGGATTTTTTTATTTTTTGTTTTTGAAAAGACAATAATGCTGGGAAATAGTGAGGCTTCTTTGAGCACATCATAAGCCAGGATTTTTTTATTTTTTATTTTTGAAAAGACAATAATGCTGGGAAATATGGAAGGCAGCAGGAAAAGAAGATGACCAATTAAAAGATGAACTTACTACCCAAATAAACCACAGGCTAGAGTTTGCCAGAGTTGAGCAGGGTGGCTGAGGCCCAGGACATTTTGGGGATTGCTCTACTATGGGGTCACCATGACTCAGAGAAGACCTGATGGTGCATAATAACAAATCAAACAAAAGTTATCATCTTAGCTTAGGATGTTCCAAAAACAGATTTTAATATGTTGGGTGCTCCCTCCCTCCCTATTTATATATTTCCATTTGGCGTTTTAGTGGTACATACAGTATAAGTTTATTTGATGCACGCTCACATTTTAACTACAATTTTATTACTATATGCATATTTCACTGTCAGTCATCCTCAGCAATAATTCGAAGCAGAAAGTTGGGATGTAAAGGGAATAAATGAATACAAGTTGATTACAGGACACGTGGGGAGTCCTTGACACACCCACACCCGGGGTTAGAGGGGCCGGTTGGGCTGAAAAAGCACCGCGCACACCAACACAGCAATTAGCCAGAACTGGAAAAACTCAGGACTTGCCATCCGGAAGACCTTTCTTCCTGAAGAAGCCCAGACCCAAAAAGAGACAGGAAAAGAGGGAGCGAGAGAGAGAAGCCAGCCCACTCGCCCGCCCCGAGTTCACGTGAAGACCCTTCCGTGGGAAAGGTCTGGGCAGTAGAGGAGCCCCCCGCGCCTCAGTCCCAGTCCCCGCCCCCAAACGAGGGGCTTGGTCGTCAGGAAGCCCTTTCCACGCGGCCCCTGTTCCTTCCTCGTTCCTGGATTCGGGCTTACCGTTGCTACGGGGAATATTAATAGACAGCCCAGGCTGAAGGCACCGGTAAGCACTTGACTCCATGCTACGAGAAAGACCGGCGCGTCCTCAATACTGCAGAGCGATGCCTTCCCTTCAGGAACCGGTCCCGCAAACGGGGATGGAACCAACGGCCTCCGTTTTGAACGAGGCGCGCCGCAAAGCCTGCCGGGAAACTACGCGGGGAACTCTGCCAGAACTACATTTCCTAGCATGCACCGCGGCAGGGGCCCGCCATTCCCTAGTGATAGTGGGGGCCTTATTGTTCACCGAGGAACTACATTTCCCAGAAGGTCCTGCACGCTCACACTGCTAGGATCCGTACATTTCACATAAAGTCTGGGAATCGTTGGGTGGGGGGTGGAGAGTTTGCAGAGTCTCTGGGTCCTAGGAAAGGGGTGAGCAAATTCCAAACCGCGCCGTGTTGCAAAGAGGATTGAGCCTCGCCTCAGACGACAACTCTCAAAGACATGCTCCACCAATTATTGGACTCTTGTGTACAATGTTTGTGTGCAGTATTGACCCCATGGAGGGGTTGCGCTAAGCCTGAAGAAGTGGAATTTTCTCCACGAAAGCTTGCAATTTGTTCGATTTTTAGTGATCCAATAAAAGGCATCACCCAGTCTTGCAGTTATGTCAGATTAACTCCTGCGTTGTCCTCTCGTGGCGCGTCCCAGCTAATGGACTCTCATCCACGAGAGGTCACAGCGAAATGTATCGCCTCAGCTTGAAGGTGCCCTAGTCCTCTCCCGGTTTTAAGCAACGTGTAAACAGAACACCCCCTCCAAATGCATGCCTTTTGGTCCTTGATAGCCCTTTTTGGCCTTTCTCCCTATCGTCTACTTACTACTTCCTCTCTGTTTATATCCTCGTGTTCTAGTTTTTTAATCTTGTTCTTTCCTAGAAATATCATGATGATTACCCATTGTAATATTATTAATTTAATGCAGCTATCACAGTATTGACCTTCTAAGCCTAAATTTAAGGAATATAAAAATGTGGCGGCAAAAACAATCCTGTAACCTGGTCTTGAATTGCTAATTTAAGACGTATTGAAGCCCGTGCTGCTGCTTTTCAAGACTGCAAGCATTTACTTTCCCGGGGAGGAGGGGGAGATTTCAAGGAGCTCTCTGTGCCAGTCTAGTGTGGCAAAAAACAACAAAGAATCTGATGGCACCTTTAAAACAAGCACATTTTATTTGACATTAGCTTTTATGGACTGAAGACCACTTCAGATGCATGGGGTATTGTCTTTTTCTTTTCTTTAGTTTTTGCCCGATACGCTAATCAACAAAGACTTTCTCTCTTCTCTGCAGTCTAATAGTAACCTGTCGAAAGTAATTCTGGAATTGACTGAACAGATATGTATTTATGTCATTTTAGTATGATCTATTAATGCTCTTCTGATATAATGCCCTCCCTTTTTTAACGGTTTCTCCATATTTATTTTTATAGTCTTTCATAAAACTAATAAAAATGCACTTTTAAAGGATTAGTTTGTCCCACACCTTGGAGAAGCTTTTTTTTTAACGACAGTTCCCAGAATCCTGGTTGGGGATTCTGGAAGTGCTAATCCAAAAAGTAGTATTTCCAGTAGTGTTTCTTTTGTAACAAAAATTGTTTCACAGGGTTTTGTGCTATGAATCGTTTTAATAATATAGACATGTTATTTTAATTGTTCACTCTCTTCTCGTCACCTTTTGGCCCATTAAAAATAGATCAAATGGATATAGGTCCAAAGAAACTACAGTGACAATTCTCGGTCAGTAACTCTGATTTAAAATATCATGTTGTTTTACACTAACAGTAACTTGTTTAAATCAGACTTGCCCTAAGCCCAGGTAAGCCCCAAGCTCTGCATGACATTACCTACTCCAGAACTTCACTCACTAATTTTAAGCACCTGCTGATCCTGTACTCACAGTGGAATAAACTGCCCAGAAAAACTTGGTACACAGCCTGTAAAAAAACGAAATAACATCGAAAGCTACTTGTCTCTTGGTTACTTTGTATGTTCTTTTTGTTGTTGTTTAGTTGTTTCCGACTCTTCGTGACCCCGTGGAACAGAACACCTCAGGCCCTCCTGTCTTCCACTGCCTCCCGGAGTTGGGTCAAGTTCATGTTGGTCACTTCAGTGACAAGGTCCAACCATCTCATCCTACTAAAAATACCACCTTTCCTGCATCACTTCAGAAACCCCCAGGCTCATCAATTCTCCCTCATTTCCTGTCCCACGTATAGATTTCTGAGGAGGTAGATAAGGTGGTCATGCACTCCCATTTCTTTAAGAACTTGCCATAGTTTGCTGTGGTCTACACAGTCAAAGGCTTTTGTGTAGTCAATGAAGCACAAGTAGATGTTTTTTCTGGAACTCTCTGGCTTTCTCCATAATCCAGCGCATGTTAACAATTTGGTCTCTCGTTCCTCTGCCCCTTCGAAATCCAGCTTGTACTTCTGGGAGTTCCACATACTGCTGAAGCCTACTGTGTAGGATTTTGTTTCTGTCCATGTAGTTTTCTTGGCAGGGATACTGGAGTGGATTGCCAGTTCCTGCTTCAGGTGGATCATGTTTAGTCAGAATTCTCCACTATGAACTGTCTGACTTTGGTGGCCCTGCACAGCATAGCCCATAGCTTATCTGAATTACTCAAGCGTCTTCGCCATGACAAGGTAGCAATCCATGAAGGGGTTCCCACCATAGTGGTACCTATTTATCTACTGACATTTAACATGCTTTCAAACTGCTAGGTTAGCAGGACCTGGGACAAGCAATGGCAACAAAAACAGCATTGAGATACTAATGAAAGTATATAGTTTTCAAACTACCCCCCCCCCAAAAAAAAAACTTGGTGCATAGCCTGCTAAAAATGAATTAACAGAAAAAAATTACTTGTCTCTTGGTTACTTCGTATGTTCTTAGCAGTATGCTTAAAAATACCACTTTTCCCACATCACTTTGACAACCCCATGCTCTGCTGGGGCTTCTTCATATCTGTTCTCTATCGCTTTACAAGTCATTTACACTTAATGTTTCCCCTACAACTCTAATTTCAATCTATTTATTTATTTCATTACCACCCAAAGCCACTCTGAGCAGTTTACAACAAAGTAAACCATTCATTCATTCATTCATTCATTCATTCATTCATTCAATTTGTACCCCGCCTATCTGGTCAATACGACCACTCTAGGCAGCTTCCAGTCCAGACAAGATACAATAACAAAAAATAAAATATAGAGGAATAGACATTAAACAATGAACAATAAGGAATAAACAATAAGCAAATTCTTCAAGATGGCAAAAATAACAAAAAATAGATAAAAGAAAGATTAAGTGTTATCTGGAGGGAAGGCCTGCTTAAACATCCACATTTTTAGATGGGTCTTAAAAATCGAACAATAGCAATAGAGACAAGGATATAAACAACAAACCAAATAAAATATTAAAAATACAAAATGTATAACATTAAAAATACACAGTAAGACATAATAAAATAAAATTAAAATGGAAACATAGACCAAATGTTTAATGATCTAAAAACCTCTCTTGATCTTATTGCCAAACTGATTGATCAATAGTTGTGTGGATCCTCTTCTTCCACTCCTCAAAGGGGACACCATATGCCCCCTTGTAATCTTCAGGGATCTCAGATGTACAGTAATTCCTCTAGTCCTAGAGACTTGAATTGAAGTAGAGGGGTTAAATGTTGTCATACCTCCTCTTCAGCATTTTGGCACCAGACCACCCACTGCCTTCTTTACTGTACCTTACATTCAAGACACTCCATTCACTGTGAATTCTCTTTTTGAGTTTATCTGACAGTGGGATCTCTCACAGTATTTTTAAAAGCTTATTGCAGTCAGCTTTCTTCAAAACCAGAGGGTGTATTGCACCATTAACATCGCCCCTCACCTGTCCTCAGGTTGTTTCACTAGCCTGAGGCCCACGGCACACGCATATTTTCACTCTCTCGTTAGGCTGCCACCAGTTGATCTCTGTCAACACCCTTTAATTAGAAAGATTGAGATCCAAGCTGAGTATAAATTTGAACAACACAGATTTATTAATTACTGTTTGCTTAAACAAGTTCTTCCCAAACTTTAATGTATTTATTATATTAATAATAACTTAGTTCTTTCTTAACTCTTTCAGTTTTTTGTAACAGAGTTCCCCAGCCTATCCAGAACGGGCCACTGACACAGATCTCCTTCCCCGCCCCACAGTCACTGATTTCCTCCCGCCGCCAAATCTCGCGAACCTCAGCACGCTTGTAGTGCGCAAGTGCCCCCTTGTTTACGCCATCACACGCACGCGCATTCTACCCCTGTAAGCACACTGCGCCCGTCTCTGCGGTATGCTATGTTCATTTTCCCTACACATGCACACCCCCAACTAGTCCGCCGTCGGGAGAAAGTTAAGGACTACTATTACATAAATTCCTCATTCTGCACGGCTTGCTTAAATGCCGCTGCCCTATCTACCTACCTGCCCTAACTACCACAGACTCGTTTCTACTTTAGTCTCTCCTCCCTCACTGACAGGTATAACTGCCAGGCAACCTTTTGCTTTTTCCACTTTTTTACACATGAAAACCAGTCCCATCTTTGGGACCTCCAAAAATTGTAAACAACAACAACTTTAGATCTTCTAATTGCTAGCGTGCTACGAAGAGTCGGAGACGACTTGACGACAGATAAAAAACGCTTGTCTAGGAGAGAGTTCCAGGCGGTCTGCGCCTACTAGTAAGGTAACAATGAGTGACTGCTCCTGTCTGTGTCAGTTTTGTTTAGTATAATAGAATATATAGAGGGTAAAACTCAACCTATTTTCAGAACGATCACATTTAATATTAACGTATAAAGTAAGTAGAAACTGTGGGAAAAATGATTTCCTCCGCGCAATGCATCATGGTTGCAACTAAAAACAAATCATGTCACTGACTCCTCCTGCTTTGAGCCCCGCCCCCGCTTCTTTTCAAGGAATAGGGAACCGACGCATTTGTGGCGTTCGGGGGGGGGGGCTCCGTGTACAGGTGTGGTCACGTGTGTGAACGTTCAGACGTACAGAGAGGCGTTTTGGGTTCAGAAATGATGATTCTTCCTCGAGCTGTGATCAGTATGCTAATTGAAGTGCTAGGTATATAAGATATCAGTTCAAACGCGCGATGCTTCAAGGGCAGGGGTTCTGCTGGCTGCTGGCCGAACCGGACACGCCAAGCCCGAGCCGTCCTACTTGTCCTGTGTTCCGGCGGAAAGGCGGGCGAGCGATCCGGAGGGGTGGACCGGGATCGCATTTTTCCCAGGGGCAGACTCTCTTCTTCCAACACATACAAAAAATGTGCCTGTTTTCCCTTACACAGCGGACGGACGCTCGCTCAGGGCCCCGGTTGTTCTTTCTTGCAGAGGATGCCGAGGCGTGGGGGGAGGCGGGCCCGGTTCTCAGCCCGTCTCCGCTCAAGGCACATTTGAGGAGCCGAGGTAAGAGGACCGCCGTTCATGTAGCCTTTGTAAAGATCCAACCCCTTTTCGTAGTATTTTTGTAAGACGCTAATGTTGCATTTAATAAATGGGAAATTTTTAAAAAATTGATTGTGAATTCTTGTGTTCTTTCCGTGCAGTGTGTAGGTATTTGTCCAACAATGAAAAGCAGAGGATCGGGGCCCAAGGGTCAATGGTCCCGGGGCATCTACCCCCTCCCACAGGGTCCCTGGGAGGCCACAACGCGGTATTTGTATGGGCAGTTGGACTTCAACCCCCCAACAGCGGAGTAGCGATCCTGTCGGTGGGAAAGGGAGGGCCTCTGTAAAATATAAAGTCGCAGGACTGGGCTCCCCTTGGAAACAGGAACGAGGCTTGCTTGAGCCACATTACAATTGCTTATGCTTCCTAATTGTTGGCTGGTTGCTGAGGGCAATACAGGCATCTACCTGTACTTGTGTCACTGGTCCCATGCTGAAAGAAGGGAGCAAGTGCTATAGCAGTGGCTTCTGAGTATGAGTGTGCCACTCTCTCACCCCCATGTCCTTCACGCTACAGGACAGGCACCCCACAAGCAAACAAAATGTCTTGTCCATGGTGTGTAGGATAACAGTCCTGTTTGTTCCAAACAATAATGCTTAGGAGGGCATTATTGGAAGCTGCACTTGTTATTTCCAAGTACAGGGGATGTTATACAGATGAACGGGGTGCAAGAGGAAGGGAAAAATGTGATACAGAGGCTGGGGCAAAGAATCACACCAGCAACAGAACAGCAGGAATTATGAGGGGCACACCATGGAAAAGGTCTACTTCCTTTGGCAATACAAGGGAGCAGGATCTTAACAGTAATCCAATACATCAGATTAGAAATGTACACAAAACTGTGGCCCAAAGGATAAGGTTACTTGGTCTTCACTGCCCAATTCCCTACTGTAGCTCAGTGGTGGCAGGCTGGCGGTGGTTAATTAGAAATGCACTGGAATGCTAACTGATAGCCAGAGCCGTTACACGACATCAAGTCGCCTCCAACTTGTGGCAACCCTATGAATGAGTGATCTCCAACATATCCTATCCTCACCTGCTCAGCTCAAGTCTGTGGTTTTCTTTGGGCGACACTATGAATGAGCGATCTCCAACATATCCTATCCTCAGCTGTCCTGCTCAGCTCAAGTCTGTGGTTTTCTTTAGGGAGTCAGACCATCTTTTTTTGTTCTGGTATCTACATCATTTTTCAAAAGATACATTTCAAAAGTTGAAGGTAAATGAAACTTAGTTATTCAAATTATGACTATATTTTGATGCATCAGTTGCATAATACTTGCAGCCATCTAACTGACCTTTATCTTGATGTTTTGGCCAATAAGCTAATCCCATTTCTGATCTGCTCTAGCATATAAACAAAGGAAAATATAGAGATGGGATACACCCTCCACAGATTCTTCGGCTGCACAGAGAGATTTCCAATAATGGTTCTTGTAGATTTAGATTGGCAACGAGTTAGGTTTTTGGCTGCAGAGCTGTCCTCCAGGTAGAAGAGCCAGCTTGTGTGGCCTTGGGCACACTGCACAGTCCCAGGGTTTCTCCTGAGTACTCCCTACCTAGAAAATCTGGAAAGTGTCATCATAAGTGAGAATTGATTTGACAGCACACACCCAAACGGGCCTCTGTGAGACTCGAGGTGAGAGTATAAAGGCTCTCGCTAGAGTGTCGTCCTCCCTCAAAATAGAGCAGGAGGCACAGACAAACCCGCCTACACCGCCCATCGAAACTAAACAGCAGGGAGTTGACCCTGGGACGAGTTGATTAATAACTCCTTTGTTAAAGATGTTTGGATGCCCTCACCTGTTGGCGACGAGAGAAAAATGGAAACTAAGGTAACACAGCAAGATTTATTGTTAACTGTTCCAATAAAAACTAGTTACGATTTTACAACAGTTAGACACCAGAGGGGTAAAACTCGAACCCTCACAGCCTCACATTTACTTTTGGTTCTTATTTTATTATTTCAATATATCCACCTGTGTTCTGTGCTAACTGCCTCCATGGTGGGAGGGCATGGTGGCTGGAATTATAACACTACAAGAGTTCATCTTACTTTCAAAAAAATTGACAGTGAAGAGAGGTTCGTACTTCTACATGTACAGCAGAATGAGGAACCTTCCCACCCACTCTTGGTGATCGTTGAACTTCTCCAGGTGGTTAATGGTAAGCAATTGAGAGAGCTGTGATACAAAATACATGGAAAACTGCAAATTCCATACCCTGGCACACAGGTCAACCTCCTTCTGATAATAGCCCTTAGAAAACAAACTCCTCCCTTACAAGTCCTAGGCATTACTAATCTCAACCCACTCATGCTAACATAAACAGTAGCCACTGCCATAGCAATGGACTCAGCCACTTGTAGATCTGACTACTTTGCTCTATTATTTTTGTCAGACTGGCACCACCCCTGAGTTACCAACATAGCAACTGAAAACTCCAGATGCCTAGTTTGTCTCCTTCAAGGAAGCATAAGTGACCATTAACCTCCAGATAAGCATAATCTTTTGTGGAATACTCTTCGTAATGACAGATCCAGCAGCTTTCCACTGTCCGAACTGTGAGATGAGCTTCCGCTCCAGGCAACTATTAGAGAAACACATGGATAAATTCTGCATTGGACAAGAAACAACAACTGTGACTGGTGCTAAACACCAGAACAGGCAAGCAATGCATAAGAGGAAAGAGCCTAAGAAAGCAGAGACACCAGACAGCTTGGTAAGAGAAGCACCCTTTCCTGGACTCATGACTGGTCAAAAAAGTATATGGCCTAGATTCCTAATATTTGGGAACAATTTAACATAAGTATTGGGAGGGCGAAATGTAAGTGCCTCAGTTTTAATGACACTATTAGTAGATATCCTCTACCACATTTTATCAACTATACATGGGATATCTGCTAGAGTCTATGCAGAAATATGAGAAGATACTATATAATAAAAGACATATCTAGTAAGAGGTAGAATATTAAAACAACCTGTTGCTTCTGATCATGCCCAGTGATGTTGGATTAGTCCCATATACAAGAACATTGTTTCTGTCCCTCTTTGATAGGACTGCAAACCCTTCCTATAGAGACTGGAGTTGGATTCTTGTTTAAAAACTAGATGTATTTACTTGCATTTCTTCTTCTTTTTAATTGCTCCTTCTTTTCTAGCTTTGTGTCAAAATCTATAATTGGAATAATTTGGACCCATCTTGGGCAAAGCTTTAAAAAATTACTTCTTTGGAATCCACAGCGTTCCCTTGACTAACATGGCTGTTGCTGTTGCTGGGGGATTTGTGGAGTTGTAATCCAATAACAACTCAGGAGGCAGTGGAAGACAGGAGGGTCTGGCATGCTCTGGTCCATGGGGTCACGAAGAGTCGGACACGACTGAACAACTAAACAACAATCCAAGAACATAACTTTTCTAAGCTCTGGTCTTTAGATGCAAAGCCTTGCCTGGAGCTTCTGTTGCTCCTGTGCTGTGCAGAAAGCCTCATGACCACCAAAGAGTCAGAAGCAAATGAGATGTTGCTAAAGGTATCGTAACAGGTGCACATATAATATAGTATGTTCATGAGTCTGAATAGGAGAGTTCTGTATCCCAAGAGGCTTCATAATTTTGTTATGTTTAGAGGTTAACATGAAATGGACATGAGTGTCTTTACTCATTAATTCCAATATCATGGACATTGCTTGCCCATGACATTTGCACAGCCAACCTTTGCATGGCGTTCCCTATTGCTGTTAAGAAATTCACTAGATATGAGAGAGTATGGGCTTCTGTCACACTTTCTTATTCACTTTTGTAGTTTGAATTCTGGGAAAATGTTAATTTTTTAACAACACAAACCCTTCTTTAATGGAATACATGGATTCTATCAACAACTGAGTACTGTAATAGCTATGCAGTTAATATTGTACAAGAAGTATACTGGTGAACACCTGAAATCAAAGGGCTCACCTTATGGTTTGAGGTGGTTTTTTTCCTGTCTCTCCTTGTATTACTTTATAATTTTATTTATATGTGGGGGCGTTTGTGAGAGAGGCCTAGCTTATTTTGCCTTTCAAAATGGTTCCTTTATCAACTGGAAGGTAGGGATGTTAAGCAAACCTTGCAGCTACTCCCTGAAGGAGTTAATTAAGACATTCCAACTTCCATGAAACACATCTTCAGTCACAATTTATTTTCCACACAATTCATTGTTTTATTTCTGTCCTGGCTCTTGGTTTCTATGGAGTAGTATCATGAGCAACAAGCGCCAAAACCAAAGAGGCACCAACCTAGACACTTTGAAGAAGAGGAATACAGGCAACAAACAGCTCACTTGAGGAGCCTTGACTATGCAGGAAGTGTTTCCGACAGCCAGGCCTTGAAGAAATTGACTGAAGAGGTACAGCGGAAAATAATGGCAACACATTGATTCCTTTGGCAGTGAGCCTTCCATGCTTTCTTTACTGTTCTGCTTTGTATCCTCCACAGATAGAATTACCATGCTTCAGAGTACCAGCTGAAGTCTTAGAGAATTGTTGTTTGTTGAGGTGGGGAAATAAATCTCAGGTGACTGGTACTGGAAGAAAGTCTCTTAGGTGGGCAACTTTGACAGGGCCAAGGGTGTGTTTCAGATCGGTTGGTTGCTCAAGAACTGTGCCAAAGATATGTGGCTAAAATGATTATTTAGCTCATTCATATTTTTATCTTTAATTTTTAAGAGGTTACAGTATTTTAACTCTTGATAAACAATAATTTTAAAAATTAAAAATTAATTCCCTGCTATAAAACATTCATTCTGTGAAAGCAAATTTTATTCCTTTAAGCTAATATATTAGGTAATAATAATTTATTAAATAGAGTTCATTTATTAGTTTCTACCTTTACATAACATATTTATTCACATTTCCTTTCCTAAGGCAACATCAGCAGAGCCTGTGATTCTGTGGTGGTGGGTAGATTTAAGCCTCCTAATTAAAAAGTAACAGTTAAGTTCTTAAATAACTAAAAAGTTTAATCTTCTATAGTCAACAATCAATATTTAAGAAAGAGAGGTGCTGAGGACATACTTGAGAAGAGGGCAGACATTGAAGGTTTACTGCCACTAAAAAGGCTTCTTGCTGCCATATTGAAATTCCTTTATATATTTATAGAATGGAATGCCATCAACTTCCCCCCTCATTTTTCTGGCGAGTACTGTGAGACACCTATGAGAGCCAGTGGGTTTAATGGATAAAGTGACAGACTAGGACTCCAGAGACCAGGTTCAAATCTCTGCTTGTCCATGGAAACTCAATGTGGGGGCAAGGTGGCAATAGTAAAACCACTCCTTAAATATCTCACATACTTAGAAACCCTATTAGGGTCACTATAAGTGGAATGTGACTTGACAGCACATAACACTCTCACTGCGGGACACTATGAGGCAGTAGAAGTCTTTTAAAAGAGCTTGAGGACTGCTTTAAAACCTGGACATTCATCCTCACTCATTCCAAGCTGGCACCAGGACTCACTCTCTCTCCCTGCAAATATGTTTTTATGGGTGTGATGTCTGTGCAATGTTGGGGCACCAAAAAAAAACAGAGTGAGGAGATTAAGGAGGGAGCCAGTGGGTGCATGCACTTGGACTTGTTGGGCCACTTAGAGCCAGCAAGGCTAGGAATGGAGCACCAGCACTACAACTCACGGGCATTCTTGTTGCATGAGCCTTGGCAGCAGTTGTATAAGGCTTGGGAAAACAGAACTCCCTGTGGCTGGTAGGGACCCTTCCAAATGCTCCAGCAGCACAGAGGGATCTAAATAAACTTCTCACTGGCCATGCATGCTGTCAGCATGGGATGTGAACTCCCTAGCAAGAATGGTAGTAGCCACTGTAGCTGCTGTGTGTTTGTGCCAAGTGTCCATCTGCTCCCAAATATTTTCCTCCTTGCTCTTGGTTGCCCTAATACCTGCAGTGTTTACATAGCTTCTATTCTGATTTACATGGGTTTCCTCCATGCCTGTTTCCTTAATCAGTTGTCCCAGTAGTTCCAGCCCTTCATTTCCCTTTCCTGTCTTCTATGTCTTTAGTTTTGATCCCGAAACCTCAAGGAATGGAATGCTGCTGGTTTGACAACTCTACTCACAGATATTTCCCATCCCGATAATCTCACAATTCCTAGACCTTAGTCTAGAGCAAATTGTTCCAGACTAAGCAGAGTTTTTAAAATATATTTTGGGCTGGGAATGACTAAGTAAGCTCTTATTTCCCAGTTCCAAGTTCAGGGTCTTCTCATCAAATTGATAATGCTTCATTTTGAGTATAACCAGAAGATACACTTGCCATTCTAACCAACAACCAAAAATGGTGTCTGCTACTAAAGAAAGTCTTTCCCTCCACAGTTCCAGAAACTGAGAAAGTCACTGGAAAATACACACTCAACATTCAGGAACTTCCAGACCGAGGTAAAACTGTTCAAGGATTTTTAAAACAAACAAACAAACCTTGTTGCAGAGACTATAAGATATTGAAAAATATACAATCGTATGAAAAGGGTTTGAATAGTGAGGAACGTAATGAAGCATAAACTTACAATTTCCTATACTGATTATTGCAATACTTTTTCTGTATAATCTTCTGCCTTCTGTTCTTAACATCCTGCTCTTGTTCTTCAGCATAATCTTCACTATGTGCTCCTTTAACTCTCTTTCACTCTGTGGTCCCACCTTCTATTCTGTGGTTCATTCGAAACCTGTTTCCTTACTTTGTTTCTGTTTTGGAGACAAAATCCCATGCAGCTCTTGCGACCAGAAAGCTTGCCCACCCCAGTGCAGAGGGGCAATTCATTTTGTTCTGCTCATGTGAGAAAGCCATTCCCTATTTTGGCCTTTGAAGCACAGCCTCGCCCCTGCTTCAACATGTCTCCAGCAATGCATGTTGGGACTGCAGTTCCTCCTGTGATGGTTCTAGAGGTGTTAATATTGGATTTAATTGATATGCTTTAGATGGCCTGAACTGTGTTGGAAAGAACTTCACACAAATGGAAGCTCTTTCCTGTGCAGTTGCATTTGCAGGTAACTAGACGGCTGCATATTTAGAGCCATGTGTCATAGGATCCCAAAGCAAATTGTTTGCATGATGGAGGTGGATATGAGAGCTGTGATGTGTTAGTAACACTATGAATCAGAAGTCATGACTTCAGTTAGTGTGTTGACTAAGGAAAATATAATATCATCTCACAGACAAAGCATTGCACTTTAAATACACAGAAAATGCAGAAATCTAACAATAAAGATATAAACTTGAAAGACTAGTGTGTGCAACAGTTAAAAATAAATACATGTGTATTGTACATAAATTAAATATTCAGGAAGGCCCTAAGAAATATTTGTTTATTCTAAGTATTTATAAGCCAACTTTTTGGCCAGACTCTTACAAAGTGATTAACAAGGAAGGACATTGTATGATACAAGTGGGCAAATCAGAAAAGTGTACAGTTACTTAAAAGCTTTAAGAAAGGTTGGTGTAAAAAGATACATTTTCATGCCTTTCTTAAAAATCTGCATTGAAGGGAACACTAAGCTAAAACCAGCTGGGAGCAGTTCCGTATCTGTGGGGCCACCACTGAGAGGTCCCTTTCTCTTCAGCTCACCAGCCTGAACAGTTTTCTATGTTTTGATAAACTGAATGAATCACAGGGAGTTTCATAACTGAAAGAGGATTTGAACCTGGATTATCTGCATTCACACCCAGCACTCTAGCTATGGGAAGTACAAGCATACAGTAGAGGATACGGTGAGTTGACATGTTCTGGAATTCACAATCAGTGCTCTTCATGCCACCGTTCAATGACAGGACTTTTAAAGCATGCAGTTAGACACAAAATATGCAGTTGGAAATCATGTTGCTTGACACTGCCAAGCGTTCTTAATATACAGGTATCCATAGCTTATCACATTTTCCCTCTATTTCTCCATATATGCATGGCCATCTACGCATGACAAAAAAAATTCTCCATCTGTGTCCAAATCACACTGAAACAAACCTTGTTCAATGGCACCCAAGAGTTGCATTGTTGATTATGGAAGTAAGGAGCATCTTGACTTGTCATATTTCCCTGAACCCTAGGATGACAACAGCTACCAGAGCCTGCACCAGTGGGAATATTGGCAGCGCCAGCAACAAATGGCAGAAGCACATGAGCGCCAGTTAGCTGTTATCCAAGCCAGAAGCCAGCATCTAGAGCAGCAGAAGGATGGTAAGAGAAAGCTAGGGCACATTCCTGATGGTTGTTCTCCTGTGACTGCCTTTTCTTGCCAGTTGAGGTTAAGGGAATGGCCTGCACTGTAGAATTAAGTAGGAAAGGTCAGACAAATGGCCTTCATGCATCCAGTTCCTGTGTGTGCCGCTGGATAGGGCTGGCAAAAAGGTCCCATCTTGTCACTAGTTCCAGGGAAAAAAAACTAGATGGAGACTCCATCTGTAAGTACACCTAGCAGTCAATTTTGTATTTAGAGGATTTCTCAGCCATTGGGTGGGTTTGAAGAAGGCAGAGGGAACTTGATTCTCACAAACAGCAGGTAAATTTTTATTTTATTTATTTATTTATTTATTGCATTTATATGCCGCCCATCTAGACATGATAAATAGCTGAAGAATGAGATGAAGTGCCTGTTTGTGATTTTCTTCTTCCTCTTTTCCAGTCGTGTGTGTGTGTGTGTGTGTGTGTGTGTGTGTGTGTGTGTGTGTGTGTGTGTGTGTGTGTGTGTGTGTGTGTGTGTGTGTTTGTTGAGGAGAGGGACTAAATGAGCTGCAAGGCCAAACATTTGTTATTTTTCTTTGCAAAGCAAAGCAGTAAATAGCAGCCATACATTTATATTTTACTCAGAAACAGTCACATGATTCTGACACATGAAATGAACAAGTTACTCTTTTGAGGTAAAGGAAGTTGATTATTTAACAGTGTTCTGTCCTTTCATGACATCCCAGATCAGCTATCTGAGGCCACTGCTTCCTTCTGCCTAACAGTAAAACTGCCCTTCATCTCTTGGGAAGAACTATCTCATTTCTTAGATTTGTAAATAATTCAGGATGTTTGTGTGGGTGAAAAGACAAAAATATGTTAAATTAGTAAGAAATTTATGTCTAGACTCAATAATAATGTTTGATGTCTGTGGCGGACAGTCCACACGTCACTCCTGTCAGTCATTTTAGAGCTCTAGTGCAGGAGCCTATGACAGGACAGGAGGGGCAGAGTCAACAGAACTTGTGTGTGTGACAGTTAGTTAGGGAGAAGATTGTGAAGCGTTTAGACAAGATACTGGACAGTTGGTTTGTTAGAGAATATTAAAGAGTAAAAAGGAATTAGAAGTACCCAGACAGTCAGAATATATTGAGATCTTGATTAAAGTAAATGAATACAAGCAATCTTACATATAATCAAATCCACATTTATTGAATGAAAGATAATAGAACATCCACGATTTTCCTTCTGTGATTTACTTACTACTCCATAAATAAACGTTGTTATATTTGGCAGCAAGAGTGCGAGATTCATAATCAATATACAGTGGACCCTCTACTTAAGGAATTAATCCGTATTGGAATGGTGGCTGCAAGTCGAAAAGTCTGTAAGTCGAATCTCCATTGACCTACAATGCACTGAAAACCAATTAATCCCATAACCAGTGGTTTTTATTCTATTTTTATTCCATTTTGTTTTTTTTTTCTGGTCTGTAAGTCGATTCTCTGGCTGCAAGTCAAATCTAAATTTTGCAGCCAGAGAAGTCTGTAACTCGAAAAGTCTGTAAGTCGAGCCGTCTGTAAGTCGAGGGTCCACTGTATTGAGGATAATATCCTCTGGTGGCAGCGAATAAAAGTGAAAAGAACAATTCATGCCCAAAGGTGAACTTGTATGAGAGGCCAAACATACAGGGGTCACTGGAGGTGCACAACAATGTTTTATGAAAGTACTATGCATGTGTCTAGACACCATCTCAAGCTATTCATCTGTATATATAACAGCTAGCATTTTAGGTTCATGAGTTCCATGCACACTTTCTCTCTAAGATGCTGCATTTTGCAGGAATCTATTCATATGTAAGGACTTACCTGGAGGCTTTAGTGGAGAGTTAGGGCACAGGTTTACTTGTCTGATTTGTTGTCTGAAAAAGAGGCATGCAATACATATCCACTAGGGGTGAAGGGTTCCTAGCTGGATGGATCTATGCTCTAGTACAGTATAACCAAGGGAGGGATGATGTTCCCATATTTTAAGCAGAAATGCAATTCAGAGAACCTCTGGAAATCCTTTGATTTGGGCCAGGTATTCCAATGCAGTTTGTTCAATGTTGCATTTATCTAGAGATCCACAAGCGCTTGTCGGATCTTAAACAAGGGAATTCATCCACAACTCACATAGAACAGCTGCTGGTTGAACTGAATGCCCAGGAGGAAAAGAACCAACTGGCTTTGGATACCCTGCGGGAACAGGTGGACCTTTTGCAAGTAGTAGCAGAAAGCAGGTAAGGCTTCTAGGGGTAGAACTGCACATTCCTTACGGTTCTTTATGGCTGCTTATGAACAAGCAAGCCCTTAGTACACCTGCATATTCTTCCTTCTTCCGTTTCTTTCTAGAAGCAAACCAGAACCTCCAACCAAGGTAAAAACTGAAAGTGCTGCTGATAAGGTGGAGGAGAAGGCCACTTTCAAGTCTATGTTATTTCCAATAGCTGTTGGACCACTTTCTTCAGAGATACAGTGAGTTTGGCGGAAGCTGCAAGGCTGTCTGAGATCAGAGCTGTGCTAAACTGGGAATTTTAATATGAATATTAATTAATTGCTTTTCACTGTTGCTTGTGGAATTTTCTCTCTACCCTATTTTGGGAAGTGCTGGATTATGGGAAATTGTGTAGCAAAGCAACAGTAGAAGGAAGACAGATTTTTCACTGGATGAGAAGGGAACAGTTCTCTTCTCAATGGAGGTAGTGAATAGGCTTGTCATCTCTCTGTGTGTGCGCACACGTGCCTGTGCAGCAACATGCTCTGGGATTTAGTGATGCATTTGTGTGTCCCTGCAGGGCTGTCTACCTGGCATACGTGCAGAGTGGAGGTAGTGACCACAACATCCTCCGTCAGATGTATGAGCTGCAAGTGGAGGCTGTGGCACTGGAGAAAACTAAAGGAAGGCCTGAACACAAGGCCAGAAAAAAGAGTGAGATAAATTTACTGTCTTCTCCTCCCCACACTTGGCTATTATATCATAGTCTAGAGCACTGGTTCTTAACCTTGGGTTACTCAGGAGTTTTGGACTGCAACTCCCAGAAGCCTTCACCACCAACTGTCCTGACTGGGGTTTCTGGGAATTGCAGTTCAAAAGCATCCGAGTAAAAAAGGTTAAGAACCACTGGTCTAGAGCAGTGATGGTGAACCTTTTTGAGCCCGGCTGCCCAAACTGCAACACAAAATCAATTTATTTATATCTAAGTGCCAATACTGCAATTAAAAAACCCAAATGCTGAGGTTTTAGTTTAGAAAAAACAACTGCTCCTGCACTGCAAGGGTTAAATGCTTCCTCCTCCTCCTCCTCCTCCTCCTCCTCCTCCTCCCCCCCATGGGCGGTGTTAACAAATAAATACTTACTGGTCCTCCAATCCCCCATTGGGCTAGACCAGTAATGGTCACCATTGCACCCCTCTGTTAGACCGCTGCACCAGCAGAGGGGAGTACCAAAATCTGGGATCGGAGGATGGGTAAGTAATTCTCTATGGCGACTTATGGCTCGTGTGCCCACAGAGAGGGCTCTGTGTGCCAGCTGTGGCACCTGTGCCATAGATTTGCTATCACTGGTCTAGAGCAATTCTTGGGTCCTTAATGTTTGCATATCCCTCATGAACTGAAGAAGACTACTGTTTACAGACTAAAAATTAATCATTAGATGCTATCAAATCAATTCCAACCTATGGCAACCCTTTCCTTTTTTCCTAGGTATAGAAAATGCTTGAAAGTGGTTTACCATTCCCTTCCAGAGTCACCCTGGATTGTGTAACTTGCCCAAGGCTGTACAGACTGACTCTTCTCCAGGGATGCACATTAGGGAATTGAACTCCTAACCTCTGGCTCCACAGTCAGATACCTTACTGACTGAGCTATCCAGCCAGACCAGAGTTCACAAAAGCTATTTTTGGGGAGAGTCATTCCCAGATTCTCGCTGCCACTATGACCACTGCTCTGTTATAGGAGAATTTGTTCCCATTGTGCAATAAGGTCTTGTTTATGAAACCTCAGACTATAAAAAAGCTATTTTTCAATTATATAAATTCAATAATTTTTATTGTCCATTGGCTCTCCATCCTTCCACTGCAGAACATGAAGGTAACTCTAGTACCTACCCATGGGGCATGGATGCTGAACTCCTATCTGTTCAGCTGGAGAATCAGCGGCTGGAAGATGAAATACTAAAGTTAAGGGTCCTGAAGGACAGAAGAAGAAATGAAGTTGGTAGGCCCTCATCCTCCTTTACTAAAGTTGAGACAGATAATAGTGAAGGAAGCCAGGGATTAACTTTGTAATTATACACAATAATGTTGCTGTGGGTAAATTGTGTTCATTATATCCAGGCAGCTACTTCTATATACATTATATCACAGAAGTGAGTACACCCCCTCACATTTCATAAATATTTTAGTATATCTTTTCATGTGACAACAGTGAAGAAATGACACTTGGCTACAATGTAAAGCAGTGAGTATACAGCTTGTATAACAATGTAAATGTGCTGTCCCCTCAAAATAACACAACACACAACCATTAATGTCTAAACTGCTGGCAAGAAATGAGAGTGTACAGAGGGCCACACAGTTGATGCTGTGTTGCCACTGAGTAAACATGCCACTGTGTTACATAGGTGGCATAGTGTTCTCCCACCACTGGCAACAGAATACCCCTTTCAGGTCTGTCTGGGCTGGACAGGAGCCTGCAACAAAGAGTGTTTCTCATCAGACAGACTATAGAAAACTTACTGCTGTAAACTGGACCATTGAGGGGAACTGTACTGGAAGGGTTACATTTGTAACACAGGACAAATTAGGATTACTGCATTGGGTGTTCTACCCATTTAAATAATAATTTTACATCATCGAGCAATTCTGATTTATGGTAACACTTTTCATAGTTTTCTAGATAATGTGATGGACTACCAGGTTCAGGGAGTCCTGCTCTAACTACTTAGCCACACTACTCTGGCGATCCTGGAACGTATGAGCCCAGGAGAGTTAATTGTGTTGACGGCTAAGGGAACCTGTCTCTTCCCAATACTTCCCCAACATTATAGTCTGACCTAACTAAGCAGTGCTATCAGAGAGTCCCCTAAAATCCACAAGGTTAAGTGTCTTTGACTCTCATGCCAATCCTGCATGGTAGAACTGGCAGCAAAACCACAAAATTTACCAACTCCCAGTAGGTGGTCAAGGCAAGACCTGGTTTTAAGTTCTACAAACCCTCTTAGCCAAAAATCCAGATAATTGAATGGAGAAATTTTTGTATTTTTTTAAGATAGTGAAAAAGACAAAAGTTTCAGTAGGTTTCAAAAAGGCATCCAAATATTTTGGAAAAAATTGAAGTCTGAGGCAGGAGCAATACAGAGAAAACACATAAGAAAATAAGAAAGCTAATTAAATTACTTAGCATTTACTCATTGGAGTAGTATCAGCATAGTTTCAGAGCATGCACAGAGTGCATGTCTCCTAGCACAGCAAGTGGCCGTAGTGGCCCCATAGAAATAACTAAGTCAACTAAAGTAACTTCTGAGCTTCTTTTTAAGCTTTATTCATCACCTTCTAGACCTTTCAGGATGTTTTGCCAATCAGGCGTCAAATTCCCTCAAATGTTAATGAAGGCAACAGCAGTTTCTCCCCCGCCCTTTATACAGCTGATGACATTTCCCAATGATCACAGTACAGTGGTGCCTCGCTAGACAGTTGCCCCACATGACAGGTGCAGGAAAGCCTTGCCAATTGCTTCAGGTGAAGCAGGGAGACAGCCAGTTGGAAGCTAAAGAGCATAAGAGCATAATCTCCATGGGGCACAGCAATGTGGAGATAAGTTTTACCAAAAGAAAATAGGCAGAAGCCCAGTGCCTAGAGTCCCTCAGTAACTTTGGAGTAGTTTCCCACTTAACAAATTTGGTTTCCATGTTGACCTGTTATTCCAAGAAATCCTGAAAGATGAAAGAAATTGCTTTCTGCGTTCGGCTACAATGCACTAGCTAAGCATCTTTAATGCATCTCACATGTGCATTCTACTGCTGAGGTGTCCAAGAAGATTGTTGGGCTTTCTGATCTCCACTGTGCCCAAATCCTTTGTTCCTTTTTCTGGGGGTTGCTAGGAGGAACAAGCTGATTCAGACTTTAAGCCTGAAGATGAACCACGGGTGGTACTCCCATTCCTTTGTGGGCAAAAGCTACACCCACCTTCCTCCCAGCCACTGAGAATAGCCTGAATTTTCTAGAAATGTCCTCAATCCATTTTTTCCCATTTTTTCAGTTTCTTCACAGAGAGTACTCAAAAGTGGTTTACCGTACCTTTTTTCTGGGTGCCTCCTGGGACTGTGCAACTTGCCCAAGGTTACACAGGCTGGCTCTTCTGGGACGCACAGTGGTGAACTGAACTCCCAGTCTCTGGCTCTGCAGCCAGAAATCTAACTGACTGGGCTACACAGACAGCTCAGCTATTTTAGCCACTCAAAATTAGTCATTAATGATCCATTGATCCAAATCTCACTTGTTATAAAGCCAACCCACTCTCACCAGCCCTGCCTATTACATCTTCATTTAAACCAGAAGCGAGTGGTGTATGAGTCAGGGTGGGGGATTGGTGCCACTGCAACATGGAGGTGGAGAAAAGGCAAGAGAAACATAAGGGCTGTGCATGTGGCAAGTGCAGGAAGGTCTTGCCAATTGCCGATTGGGTCCTTAATATTTGCATATCACTCATGCACTGAACAAGGTGAAGCAGGGAGACAGCCAGTTGGAAGCCAAAGAGCATAGCCATCTCCATGGGGCACAGCAATGTGGAGATAAGTTTTACCAAAAGAACATAGGCAGAAGCCCAGTGCCTAGATTCCCTCAGTAACTCTGGAGTAGTTTCCCACTTAACAAATTTGGTTTCCATGTTGACCTGCTATTCCAAGAAATCCTGAAAGATGAAAGAAATTGCTTTCTGCGTTCTGCTACAATGCACTAGCTAAGCCATCTTTAATGCATCTCACATGTGCATTCTACTGCTGAGGTGTCCAAGAAGATTGTTGGGCTTTCTGATCTCCACTGTGCCCAAATCCTTTGTTCCTTTTTCTGGGGGTTGCTAGGAACACATTAAGGTCCCTGAAATGCTATTGCAGTCACTATGTACTTCTGGAGATGCCGTGGCAATAGTAGGTCATCCTAGTTTAGCTAATATGGAAAAAGAAGCTCTAAGCCTCAGTAACTGTTTGTTCCCTCATTCTCTGTTTAATTTTGGAACTGCAAGCATTTGTGACTGAACTCTGTCTATCCTGCAGCCCTGCTGTAAATGGATACTGTGTGGCATTAATGCAATGGCCTCTTCCATTTACCAGGATCTTTGGATGCAGAGCTGGCCAAGCTACAGCGGGTACATATGGCAGAGATGGCTCAGCTGCATGCTGAGATTGACAAGCTAAGACATGACACAGAGAGGATGAAAACGCAGTGGCCCAGGAGAGGAATACCACCCCTCCTGCCACCTCCTGTTGCTCCTCCTCTACCACCACCTCCCCCACATCACCTTCCAGACCCTACCTTTCTGGCTAACAGTATGGTGAGTGTCCTTATCTCTATTGGACAATTCCAAGAAGGCGCATACAGAATATCTACTTTCCAAGTTGAAATCGTTTTCATGTCTAGAAGTGGTCCCTTTTTCACAATTTGGAGCTGTCATCTCTGGTGCCCATATTTGCACAAGTATTACTTTTAGGAGTGTTGCTTTTCTGTGCTACGTGTATCGGAACCCATGCACTATGGGGTCATGCCAGCTTAATTATTCTGAGAGTTATAACCTTGCAAAGTAATTTTTCCAGACTGCACAACTTTGCATTAGATCCAATGGCTTTGCATTATCCACAACTATGTATGGGAAAGATATTACTGAGACATAAGCAGGGCCAATGTCCTTCCTCACTGTATCTTCCAAATAGGACTATTTTAGTAGTAACTTACTATGCTGAGATAAATTGGATTTAGAGTAGGCTCATTTGGATCGATGGAAATTACAGTAGAGTAGACTCACCAAATATCCTTTGATTCAGCAAGCTACTGTGTTGCAATTTACTACTCTAAGCAACAGCATTTTAGCCAGTAAGTGGCATGTACATTTTTGCCCTTAATTTCATTCTTCAGCCCGTAAGTGGCATGTACGTTTTTGCCCTTAATTTCATTCTTCAGCCCCATCTTGCTATGAGTCTTGACTATGGTTTTGAAACCTTCAAAATCCAGCATACCTTAAATTTTCTTTTAACTAAGGGCTTAGTCACACAAATGCTTCTAATTATAGCAACCAGAGGACATTTTTGCATCTCCTGTTAAAAGCAAAAATTGTGCTGCTTATATTCTGCCCCATAGTGCTTGAAATACTCTCTGGGTGGTTTACAATTTAATTATCCAGGTTACACATTGCCCTTCCTTGAGCAAGCAGGGTACTCAATTTACCAACCTCGGAAAGATGGAAGGTTGAGCTAACCTTGTGCTGGCTACCTGAGATTGAACCCAGGTCGCGAGCAGAGTTTTGGCTGCAGTACTACAGTTTAACTACTGTGCTGCAAAACTCCTGTAGTTACATTATAGAATATTAAGGGAGCCAAAAAAACCTATGAATTGGGCTTGGATGTTGAACTCCAGTTTTTAAGAACCAGTGGCCAACCAGTGACAAACATGCCCTGCTAAGATTCTATTTCTGGCATGTCATGACTCGGGAATTTTCTGCCATCCACAGAGTCAGTTATAATATTAAGGGAGCCAAAAGACCTATTAATTGGGCTTGGATGTTGAACTCCACTTTTTAAGAACCAGTGGCCAACTAGTGACAAACATGCCCTGCTAAGATTCCATTTCTGGCATGTCATGACTCGGGCTGAGAGAGCATACTTCGGAATTTTCTGCCATCCACAGAGTCAGTTAAATAGGACTTAAGGTGTTCTACTTTAGAATTCAGTTAGCCTAGGATAACTGAACTCTAGGAGGCACTGAGTTACGCGTGAAAAGTCTAATTACTCACTCATGCTAGGCTTGAGGGTTCTGGAGAAAATGTGTCTGCAGTGCACTCTGTGTTGAAGAAAGATGCACCCAGGAGAGGCTGAAGTGCTCTATCATTACCAACTATGTCAGCTCAAAAGTAAATGTTTTTTTCTGAAACAGTTGAATTATGTTGTTGAGGGTGCGGTAATTTCCTGGGAATAAAAAGACTCCTCACTTGGACATGATGGACACTGACCAAACTCATCTTATTTCTCACCCATTACAGGACTCCAGGAGATTGTCTGCCACAGCTACCAGCCATTACTTCCTGGATCCCTCTGACACGCTGGGACCAGCTCCATATGATCCTGCGTATGTTCTGTCCTTTTATCTTTACTGTCCCAGTGCAAGGAACGCATGACCAGGCCTTTCTAACAGAGTTACTGTTGGACTTCACTCTTGCATGGAAAGTTTTTTTCTGACAGTCACATGATCACAATCACATGAAGTGAAGACATTATGCTTTTCTTGTCCTGTTGTAATTGCTTCTAAGCATATAGCACTTTTCTTGGAACACACCAGTTTATGTATTCCAGATCCCAATGGGCCATAACAAATGAGCAGTACCAGGTGCTTTATGAGTGTGACAAATTCTCCTCTTTTCACAGGTCTGGCTTTGTGATATTCTATGATTTCCTTTTGGGCCTGGATCCCACATTTTATCAAGTTGGCCTGGTCTCTGGCCTGTATCGTAACGAGCAAGTGTTGGGCAAGCCCACCCCACTGCCAGTTGTCTCCTCAGATATGGGCCTGTCCTCACAGTATGTGATGGGTGAACAAAGAGGGTGCTGTGCCATCTTAGCAGCTAGACAACCAGTACCAAGGTATGTCCATGTCTGACATTTCTTCTCTTCTGTACAGTCATTCCCAGATGCCAGGTGTCTTTGTTTTCACTTGTAGAATGTATTTATGGTCTGTAGGTGCTTCAAGGTAGTGCTCAAGGCAGATACTATAATAGACAATTCTTCTCTAAATAGCAGGGTTGGGAGGGCTAAAGTAAGGTACACCTACAGTACTGTTGTTGTTTCCTCTTTTTCTAGCTTACGAGTGTGTCAAACATGGAACTCTTACTTTTTTGCACTATAGTTACCAGAATCCCCCAACTTGGAAACAAAGCCCGGAAGATTTCAGTCTAAAAGGTTTTGTTTTATTTCCAAGCTCTGCCAAACGTTGTATGTTGTGTCCCTAACCATGATGGCTGTGACATTCTAAAAGCTATATCCAACAAGTGATGTTTCTCAGCTTGGAATATATGGCACCATCTTGGGATATTTGCCAAGGGGAGTGATGCATTTTGTACTTTGTCATGAAATGTCTGCAATTTTGAAGTTGCCAAATTCTCTCTTATGCCAGTTTTTGCACCAAATTAATGTCATCTCTAAGCTTTAGCACATGATACCACAATGATCTCTGAAACAGTGGATTCTGGAACAGGATTTGGGAAGAAAAAAGTACTAATACTGTATTTATGTTGTTGTTATGTATGTTAGTTCTTTCTCTACTTGCTTTTCAGAGCCCTTCCTTCAACCTCTATTGCTGTTGTGATTGAACTTCAAGCATCTGGAGGCTTTGATGCTTATGGGCTAGAAATCAAGAATCTGGTCCCAAGAGGATGGGCCAAAATCACAGTTTTTGACCACCTGCATCAGGTGATGAGTGGGCGTTGGAAGGTCCCTATCCGGGTGCTTCCTGTGAAGCCAGGCCTTACTGGAGAACAATTGAATAGTGTGCCTCAGGTGAGATTTCTTGCACATAATGGCTTTTCTCTATCTGCCATGAATGTTCCGCTGGTCCTCTCCAAAGGCTTTTACTGAACAATTAAATTCAGTTCCTAACACTGAATACATCCTTTCTCTGACCCACCCATTCAATGTGACTGAAGACAGATTTCTTCCCGGATTTCATTAACTCAATAGAAACTTTCCCAAGGTAACCGTGCCCAAAGGGGATGGCCCTGCTAGTCTGCTCCAGTAAGAGTGCTATGCAGATGCTATGCAGATTCTAAAAACACCTGATCCTTAACCAAATCTACAAGATGTATTGTTTCAACTGAAAACACCTGATCCTTAACCAAACCTACAATATGTATTATTTCAACCTCTCATGGAATTCAGCTTTCATCCATTTTAATTTTAACCAGAGAAGTGTAACCGTGCCCAAAGGGGATGGCCCTGCTAGTCTGCTCCAGTAAGAGTGCTATGCAGATGCTATGCAGATTCTAAAAACACCTGATCCTTAACCAAATCTACAAGATGTATTGTTTCAACTCCCATGGAATTCAGCTTTCATCCATTTTAATTTTAACCAGAGAAGTTCTTTTTAAAATTTCATAGGCTGGCAAAGCTGAGCTTCATTTGCGACTGGTGAATGCAAGAGATGCTGACATGCAGTCACTGGCTGAGATACATCCTGCCCAAGCCTCCCTGTACAAATACCCTCCCACAGTAAGTTTCTCCATCAGGTGTCATTTTTTTAAATCTCTCTTGCTATCCTTCCTTCTTTCTTCCCCGAACTGGGTTCATAAGGGATATAAGTGGACTCTCCTTGCAGAAAGTATTATTGAGTGTTATTAGTTGCTATAAAGGACATTTTGATTTTAGGAACTTATTTTGTAATGTTGTTTTCTGATTCATGACTAGCCATCAAGCTGCCAACTTGTCATTTTCACATATGCTGCCTCAAATAAACAAAAAGTGAATGGAGCAAGGCACAACAGGTTTTGTGCCTTGCTCCAGGTTTTGTTTTTTCCCACTGGATAGCATAAAGAACTGGGGCCACATTAAAAAGCCAAAGTGACTTAGGCGTCTTCCACCTACCCTTCAAATCCTTAAGCTGATTGACAATTGGCAAGTGTAATCAATTTAGTTTGAAGAGGGGATAATTCACAAACCACATATGTCTGGTTACAGAAGTGGGAAAGGTTCGGATAGAAATACCACGGAACATTTGGTTGAAGATCTAGAAGAAGCCTTAGTCAGATCAGTCTTAATTAATAGGGAGTCAACATCCAATCCCCTCCCTCATGCTAAATATTTCTACATGTGAACATCACTGGGTAGGCAATGGCCAGAAGTCAAGGACTTGCACACTCCCATCTCTTACCAGGCCACACCCCCAACATCACAGCCATGTTTTTCTTGCAGATGTGGGTGTTTTTTAACTGATAAAACCCCCTCCTGCCATCTAGTGGCCAAATCCTTTTTAAAATTTGGAAGGTCCAAGGATACTGGGAGACCCTCTAATCAGGCAAAATTGCCCCTTACACCTCTAGAGGGCCTCCAGATGTTCTTAGACGACAACTCCCAGAAGTCTTCACCACCGCCTCTGCTGGCCAGGATTTCTGGGAACTGAAGTCCAAGAACATCTGGAGACCCAAGGTTGGGGACCACTGCTCTAGAGGATACAAGGGAAATGTTGAGCAATTTTTAAAAAATTCAATCCCTTCAGCCTCCATTTTTGAGTGAAAAAGGGAAATGTTGAGCAATTATTTTAAAAAAATTTAATCCCTTCAGCCTCCATTTTTGAGTGAAATTATTAGGTGGATGATTATATATGAACAGCATGGAATGACCACATGGCTTGTGTCTGTCCTGAAGTTGTTAAAAAGATAGAAGTTTAACCAGGAGGGGAAAGGAGTGTCTATTGAAGACCAGTGTAGATTTCATGAAATAGCCTTGCTTCATAACTGTTAGAGCAGTGTGACAATGAAATCAATTACTTCAGGAGGTGGTGAGTCCTCCAACGCTGGAGCTGTTAAAAAGATAGAAATTTAACCAGGAGAGAAAAGGAGTGTCTATTGAGGACCAGTGTAGATTTCATGAAATAGCTTTGCTTCATAACTGTTAGAGCAGTGTGGCAATGAAATCAATTACTTCAGGTGGTGGCGAGTCCTCCAACGCTGGAGGCATTCAAGAGAAAATTAGACCACCTTCTGTCAGATCTGCTTTGAACTGGATTCCTGCATCGAGCAGGGGGTTAGACTCGATGGCCTGATAGCCCCCTCCAACTCAATTATTCTATAATTCTATGATTCTAATTGTGGTTAGACTCGATGGCCTGATAGGCCCCCTCCAACTCAATTATTCTATAATTCTATGATTCTAATTATTGAACTGAACCTTAGCTGGGCATTGAATGTTGCTTATAATATGATATTCCATGTTTAAATTTCTACTCTGCTGCCACAATATGGTTGTTTTCAGCAAGGGGAAAACCTCCTGGACGTGTCTCTTCTGTGAGGCGGTCTTCCCAAGCTGATGCCCTTCCACAGCTTATACCTGGAGGTCACCAACTTGGGCAAGGCTGCTGTCAGAAACCTTCTCTCTCACACACACACTTTTCAAGCAATGAAAGGTTAATGGAGTTGAATGATAGGCGAAAGTGTTTAATTCATAAGATAGTGAAAAAAAGGAAGACAGCTTGTGCAAATCACAGAAGATGGCTGACAGTTCCTTACAGTGAGAAATATTTGATATACTGTTATCTGTAACATACATTTTGGGCTTGAGTGTTTTGCAACAACAACAACAAAACCAAACTCTGTTGTACCACCTTAAGAGGTAGGATCAAGAGAACAGAACTTCACTTGACCCACCCCTAGTGATCCTCCTGCCTGTGCTACTCATTCCCTACATATTTCATGCTGTTGTTTTCTTCTCTCAGCTGCAGGCATACAGTTCCACAGTTCTGCCTACAGACTTCCTTCCAGCCCAGCATTCTTTACGCCCTGCCCACACCAGCCTGTCCTTTTCTGTCCCTTACACTGGCTTTGTTGACCCTCCTCCTAATGAGGAGCAGCCTCTCCAGCACAAATCTAACGCAAGGTGAGGATAGAGGAAGACAACCTACCTGCCTCCCTCATTCCTTCAAGACTTTCCTTCTGATTAAAACCAATCAGCATAGAAATGCTGATACTGTATCTACTACTCTGTGTCCATCTCTGTGTGCTTTGTGTTCAAATTATTTACTATCTGCTATGGTGTACCACTCATTTTTCTGGCATTTACAGAGGAAAATTAACCTTGAAAGCTACTTTTAAGCATTTATCAGCATGCATAAAGCTCATCCATCACCTCTGCAAACAGTATACACTATCAACTCAATCTGTGCTGGCCCATCTACATTACAGGAGGAGATAACATTCAGCTCTTGTCTACAATTGACCACAGTCCTCTATGGCAAAATATTGATCCAGTGTCACATCACAACAGTGTAGCAATTTGTGCAGCAGAGTATGAGGTGGAATTCCAACACAGCTGTTAGATAATTATTTTTCCACCTTCTTCCTTATTGTTTACATGCCCCCATCACTAATCCATCACACACACTCTCTCTTATTGCCTTAGAGATCAGGGCTAGTAATAAAAATTGAATCTCCCTTTTCCAGAGAAAGCAACTTCTCAGATTATCAAGTGTTCTACATTGCTGTTTTTCACTGCACACCTCGCTTATGTGTCGCAGTGAATGTAGTGCAACTACTCTATTAATTTATTTTCAGTTTTAAAATATTTAAATCAAATCAATCAGTCTCCATTAACAGAGGTTGGCAGGTCTCTAATTATTTATGCTCCTCCTCCTTGTTCCTGTCCTTCCGGAGGCTGGACAATATCATGGACATTTTTGGTTTTGGCTGCAGCAGTTCTAAATGTATATTCTCAGATACACATTTCCTACAGGCTGGAAGCCACTTGCTTGAAGTGCCATCAAATGATGGCAAACCTATTTTGCCAGTACTGTACATCTATCTTTCTCTTACCCTAATCTCTCAACTACCACTTGAAGGGATATATTCAGCAAATCGAGATTCCTTAAATGAGTAGTGGTGTTGTGTGGCCTTCCAGAGGTTCCAGAGGAAGCAGCTCCTATCAGTTCTTGTCTGTATACTTAATGATGTACGACCAAGGGATCTATTGTTCATCAATCACTGGAAGGCTTTGTAGTTTTATCTATTTTATTTATTTATTTAGATTTATACCCTGCCCATTTAGTGAATATGCCACTAGACTTGGCCGGCTTACAAAATATTATTAAAACCATATAAAAAGAAAACAAACAAACCTGGTACTTGTACTTTTCAGCACAATCCTTTAAATGCCACTCAGAAATAAGTCCCACTGAATTCAATGAGTCTTCATCCCAGGTGGGTAGAGACAGGTTTGTAGCCTTAGTATTTTAAGGCATCACTATGGAAGAACCTCTTCTCTTTTTTTGCACATTAACCAAGGCTCAATTTCCAGAAAGTGCTCAGCTGGGATCTTGATAACATTGGCTGCCTTAGTATTTTTATAAAGTTACACCACCTGGAACAGCCTTCCTAGCTCAGTACTTTCCCCATGTATTAGATTACACGACCATTTGGGGCAGGCAAGCTGCACACTCAAATCAGCATGTGGAG